AAGGGGTTTGTACTGAATAATAGAATCAAAGGGTCATAGTTGTGTCTGGATTTTGTGTCACTAATTGCTTGAGTGCACAGTCCTCAGATGACTGCCCAATATGGCGTGCATGCTTCCAATACCCTGGTGTCTCTAATATGTGACGGACTGTAAATGGTGCATGTGGATCTGTATGCAGTGGTGTCGCTGGAGAGTCCAATGTGGGGGTGGGGAGTTTGAGTGCATGTGCGCAGATTTATGCTTAGTACTGTCTCTAGGCAGAAAAGGAGACCCTGTGTGGGAGGGGGAGCAGGAGCAGGAGTTGGGGCGGGAACTGAAATGCTGCCGGGAGGGTGCTGGGGACTTTTCTGTAGTTCCCGCCCCTTCCCCACTAGCTACCTCCCCTCCAGCCTCCGGAGGGGGCTCATCCAGAGGAGGGCGGGTTCTCCTTTGCCTTCCCTCCTCCAAAGCATCAGCCTTGAAGTTTGAGAAAACAGTGGGCGTCAATGCCCAGGGGGCAATTCTCTAAAGATTTGATTCCATAACTTGGGCCTCAGTTTCTCTGCCTGGACAATGCCTACTTATTCTTTTTAGGCACCAAAACCTAACAGGAGGGTCCATCCCTATCTTGATGGTGTCAAAGGAAATGCACTAGGAGATGGCCCTGAAACCCAGACCCCGCCCCCCCTTCCAACACTACTAATCCGATTCCCGGGTTGCAGCAGCTGGGGTACCTACCATGCGGGAGTCGGGAAGGTTGACACAAAGAACGACAGAAAGAGACGGGTTTTCAGGAGGGTCAGTGAGGCCATGACCATCGAACGAGCCCTAAGAATATTTTCTGGGCTTCCTTTTCTGGGCTTCCTCCCTTGGATTCTGGTTACCAGTTCTGCCGCCTCCTGGTCTGTTGCCATGGAAACCAAACCTTCCAGGCGACTTTGACTTTGCGTGGGAAGGGTGGTGGTGTGTGAGGTTGCTGAGAGCAGGGTGGTTTTTTCAGAGCACAGTGTTGGGGAGGGTGGGGTGCTGGGTGCCTGGATTCCATTCCAGGTAAGGCAGCAGAAGGCAGGGCGATGAGCAGCTGTGGTTGGTCCCCTAATTGATGTGTAGGCCCAAAAAGGTGAGATGAAGTGCACAGCCTCTAGGGTTTAGAGACAGCCACCCCCACATCTCCGGCCACTGCCACTTGAGGGTGGCAGCTACACAGGCCCATGGGCTATTTAAAAGGTTTTTATTTCTAGTAAAGGGCTGTCCAAGGTCTCTTGGACAGGCTGTGCCCTGTCTATCACTGGTCTGCTCACGGTAAGGTGTCTGTGTGGGGGTTATAACCTGCTTGGGCAAGCATAGCTTAGTAGCAAATACTCTAGTGGCCCGGAGCTTCTGACCCAGGCTGGGTAGACTCAGGATCCCCGTCTCAGGGCTGAGTCCCACTAACTTGGTGAGCATGGAGGACATAGGTACTGGTAAGAAAACTGGCACCTAGAGGTGCTGAGAAAGTGGGGAGTTGGACATGAAGTCAAAATTAGGGCTCCAATCCAAAGGGTCACAGTGTGGCAAGAAGCTGGAAGCAAACAAAGGAAAACAGCCCTGAAAGGGGGGGCTTGGCCCACAGAAAACACATGCATTCACCAGGCCCAAGCTCATGTCTGCCAGACTGGTTAGCTTTTGCCTGATCTGTCAGGTCATCAACAGTGGGAAGCCACCGAAGAGAAGTGTAGACCACTACAGTGAAGAGAACCAGTCCAGAGGTTTACAAAGGAGGCTGGAGGGAGGTTCTGTTTCAATGCTTTATTGACAGTTGGAAACAAACCCATCAAACTGGAGGTGATGACATCCCAGAAACCCAAGCGGCAAGGGGTTTGCATTTTGTCCCCTGTACTTAAAAAATTTTTAATTAAATGCATTTTAGCAAAAGTGATTAAAAAAGAAAAGGGTCAAAACCCCAGATGTCAGCTTGCAAGGTGGCGGCTCAGGGAAAAACAGGACCTTGCATCAGTTTTCACAGGAAGTAGCCCTGGAGCTGCCACTGCTCCTTCAGACACAAGCTCTAGCAACCCAAACCATCCTCCCTGGCCACGAGGGCCCCTGTACTGACTGCCCC